TATTTCTCTTTATTATTCAAGTATTAACGCTGTTTTTGATATCGATAATTTCGATGATAAATTTGTCTTTGAATTTAGGAGACCAACGACTTTGGTTAGGGCTTTTGACGATGTCTTTAGGATGTATTCTACCTACTCCAAAGTTTAAACAAAAAGCTGAACCAATTTCTATATAAAGCTAATAAAATAAATCCAATTTGATTTAAAATAAGAAGACATGTCTGATTCATTTTATTTAACATTACCAAGTAACGTAAAAAGCTATGCTGATAATACTATAGGCTCTTATGTGACTTATTTACCAAATACATTAAAAGTTGATGACGATTGGGTGGTTGGGTTAGCAGAGATAACATACACCCGCAGTTGGTATAATATTTCCGAACCACAACGTTTAACAATTTTTGTAGATACTCCAACGCCGGAGTCAGGAAGATTCCTTGAAGAAATAGATTTTGAAGAATTCATATTAGATTTACAACCGGGTTCATACACGAGTATTCACGATCTGTGTGATGTGATAAACGCAGAGATGATCAAAGTGCTCAGTCGGACAGGACATGTCAAACATGCACCATATCTTGTCGTCAATTCACAACAAGGATATATCACGCAACAAGTTGGCCAATTTCTATTCCTAAGATTGGAGGAACTGCATCAGAAAGAAATGTTTTAGTACATCTGGGGCAGCAACTCGAGTACATGCTTGGATTTTCCTCATATAACTTAGAGAATGAAAGATTTGGAGTATTAACTAGATACTCAAACTTTCAAACAATTTTTGACAATGGTTACATGCAAAGAAAAGCTCAACATCATTATGATCTTTCTGGTGGTGTTCACAATCTTATGATATATTCAGATGTCGTTGAACCATCTGTAGTAGGAAATACTTATGCTCAGTTTCTCAGATCTATAAGAATAGCGGGCGAAAAGTTTGGTGAAGATATAAATTTGATTTATACACAACCATATTACCAACCCTTAGCAAGCAAAGAGATTGATAGAATAATGATTAATATAAAGGATGATTCAGGCCAGGACATTAAGTTCAGACAAGGCCGAGTAGTTGTTGTTTTACACTTTCGCCGAAAATGGAAACCTATTATTTGAATCAAGCGGGGACAGGTTTACCCCTTCAAATATTTGCGGGAACTCGTTATCAGAGAGGTAATGGGTTCTTTGGCAGATTTTTCATGTCAAAAATTATGCCGATTTTGAGATATTTGGGAGAGCAAGCACTTTCAACTGGTCAAGCTATTCTAAGTGATACCAAAAAATCAGCTAAGGATAGAGTCAGTGCTACAATGGATAGAATAACCAGTGATGCGATACAGAAATTGTCTGAAAAAAGTACTGACACACAGAATGGAAGCGGTTTAAAGTCTATAAAAAGAAAGATGATAAAAGGAAATGTAAAACGAAAAACCCGAAAGAAAATTAAATCATTCAAAAAATCTGATTTTGACTTCTTAAAGTAATATGCATAATCTAGCAGCTGAAGCTTTGCTACCGGAGCTTGATTTATTCACCATCCCCCCTGTTCAGTTGTCAATCGAAAGAAGCTATGAGACTCAACACAGACCAATCTCCTCTATAGAAGGCTCTAGCTACATAGAGTTTCATATACCTACCTCAAAAGATGAATATATTCTTTTTCATGAAACTTACTTATACTTCAAATTGCAGCTTAAAATAAAAAATGAAGACGGCAAAGATATTGTTAACCCAGATTGGAGTAAAATTAGAGCAGCCAATAACTTGATGCATAGCATGATTAAACAAATAGATCTAAAGATCGGTAATAAAGAAATGTCATCTGTATCAAATACTTATGCATATAGAGCATACTTTGAAAATTTACTCGGTTTTTCGAAAGACGCTAAGGAAACACATCTTTCTACAGGATTTTGGTCAGAAAAGGACGATATCATCTCGAACTTTGTCCCAGAAACAACAAATAAAGATCCATCACAAAGTAAAATAGTTGACATGTATGGAAAGTTACATCTTGACCTTACATTTCAAGGCAAAGCATTGCTTGGTGGATGTGATATCAAAATAAAATTGATATTGAACAACCCTGAATTCTGTTTCATCTATCCAAAATCAGTGAATATTATTCCCATAATCAAAGATGCATCTGTATACATTCACCGTTTAAAAGCTAAACCAATGCTTGTTAATGCACATTCGAGAGCTTTGCAAACAGCCTCTTCACGATATCCTATCACCCGTGTGGAGGTGAAACATGTACCCATTCCTTCAGGATCTATGGATGCAATGCTCGACAATGTCATAATTGGACAATTACCAAGACGAATGTTTTTAGCATGTGTTAAAAATACAGCTCTTAATGGAGCCAAAGATGAAGATCCATTCAAATTCAACCACTATGATGTCAACTACTTGGCATGCTATCTTGATGGCATTCAGTATCCTACAAATGCTTATCAACCAAATTTCGATCAAAATCTTTTTGTTCGAGAATATTCAGGATTGTTTCAAGCAATGAACATGAATTCAACTGAATCAACCATTGATATAAAAAGAAATGATTATGCTAATGGGAAAACAATTTATGGTTTCAATTTCGCACCTGACTTATCTCACGGCTGTGGTCTTGTAGGACACGTAAATCCAGCAAATCGAGGTACCCTCCGTGTTTATTTGCGTTTCAAGAAGGCATTGCCTGAAGTAATCGATGTTGTTTTATTCTGCGAGTATGATAATATGATCGAAATTGACAAAGAAAGAAACGTTAGCTGTGACTTCATTTAAGTATGTTCGATTTTGAGATTGAAACCATTTGCCGTTCTTTTCCAAACTTCATTGGTGTTTTTTCGAGAGATAAATTACCATTAATACGAAAATATCCTAGTTATTTCATCATGAATAGTGATGTTGCTTCAGAACGAGGTAGTCATTGGTTAGCATGTAGAGTTGATTCACGCAGATGCGAATATTTTGACTCATTTGGACTTCCACCGATTCATACAGAAATCAGTCAGTTGATCCAAGATCGTCCTTTAGTTTGGAACAATAAAGGTTACAAAGTTTCTCTTCTAAAACTGTGGGGCTTTCTGTATTTGCTGTGAAGTTGAGATCAAGAGGCGAATCATTCGATAACATTATTAAAAGATTTTCATCGGACTTACAACTCAACGATAATAAAGCTTGGAAAATAATTGACGATGTTTAACTGGGATTCGGTGATTGTATCAGTTTTTCTTCTGCCTAATGATGACAACGTCAGTGACATTAAAATCAAAGTATGGGACTACAAAGATGAAATAACATACTGTTTCATGTTGGAATTTGATGTTTGTGGCACACAATCTTTCATGAAGGGCCTGCACTAAACTCTGATGGATCCCCACGAAACTTGGAAAATGCTATTGGAGTGATAGCAGGCGAATCAAGAAGGTCTTTTCAATCTTTAGTACAGCTGTGCAATTAAAAGTACGCACAAGTTCTAAGTTAGCTTCATACCTACTTGCACGTAGCATGATTAATCATGAACTTTGTAATGATCTAGACATTGTAAAGTCTACAAAAAAGATTAATAAAAAGCAAGCTGGTACAATTCTTACAAAATGATCTCTTGTATTGTTATCTGCAGAATGACCAATAAAAAAGATTAAAACATCAAACTAACGACTCCCGTTTATTTTCTGAGCAAAACTATTTGAATAGCTACAAATCTAAGTTTCAATCAGTTTCATCCCTGACCTCGATATGTCAACATGGATCGTCTTTCTCTCGCTCTTGAATTAGTATGTGATTCAGTCAATGTGGAAAATAAGACTCTGAGACAAAAATTACATCGAACAAAAAGCTTGAATAAGCGTCTCAAAAAATCCAACAAACGATTGAGGGACGAAGTTAGGATTCTGAGTTCTCATTGCGATCCATTTTGTCCAAACCTTGATAATCTAGAGCTGACACTTAGTATTGTGTTATCTTTACAAGAAGAAGTCCGGGTATCAATTGCTTACATTCATTTTTTAGAAAAACAACTCAAAATTTTGATTTCCAATTAGTGCTTCAATCTTGCCAACCATGATGACCGAGATAAAAAATCCAATGATAAGTAATATTGTCATGAAGTTTCAACTTCGTTCGTTTCCTTTCGCTTTGACTGACTTAGTGAAATTTTTCCCAACGATAAACTACCAACCAAAAAGATTCAATGGTGCTATTCTCAAATTACCTAAGCCCTCTGTTAATCTTCAGAAATGGAAAGGTTAATGTTGTTGGAGCTAAGTCTATTAATGACGCCTATCTGGCTATGGAAAATTCTGCGTGTCGCTTCGTCTTCCGTGTGATTACACATATAGAGGTTGTCAACGTCGTGGCAACAGGTAATCTCAACAAAAGAATTAATCTTCTTAAACTCTGCTTGTAGCGAATCATTTACTTATTACCCTGAATTATATCCTGCAGCTTATTTGACAGAGGGTAGCAAAAAGTGTCTCATTTTCCATACAGGTAAATTTATAATAACCGGATGTAAATCATACAAGGAGACTTTACAAATTTTCGATCAGTTGAAATTAATTCTTTTATTTTCTGGATTCATTTAGTGGTATGAACATAAATATATTGTTTTTTATCCGTATTGTCTTTTTATTCATTCTTATGATACTTAGATATGTATACGTTAATGGCCATGAAATAAATCTACTGATTGCATAAAAATTAAATTAAAACGTTTTTCTATTTATTTCGGATATTAAACATTATTGAAAGCGCGTTCTAAAATTTTTTCACTTAGTTTATCTTTTTTCCGTTAGGTGGTATAGTTTTCGAGAAAAAAACTTTTGGTAGAGGGCGGAAAACGCTCCAAAGTCCATCTCCCTATCTTCACGGTCATAAAGTTTATGGCCTGAAGAGTTGGTGACAGTTGACACAATAGGTTTAAGTTCACTTAAACTTATTGTTTCCATCACCAACTCTTTCAGCCATAGATTTTCTCCACCGCCACCACCACCACCCCAATGTCTGACAACATCTCCATCCTCATCACCTACTGGGGTGATAAATTTATCACCACCGGTGCTTCAGCCACCACCAGCATCCCCATCACCATCACTTCCACCAACAACAGCAACATCATCGGCATTTCCTTCATACCAGCAACTCCATTACCTCACCCAACACCCGTGATCCCATCACCACCACCAGCGATCCCATCGCCACCACCAGTGATCCCATCACCCACCAGTGATCCCATCGTCACCACCAGCGATCCCATCGCCACCACCAGTGATCCCATCACCACCACCAGCGATCCCATCGCCACCACACCACCAGCGATCTCATCATCGCCAGGTGATCCCATAACCACCAGCGATCTCATCGCCACCACCACCACCAGCGATCCCATCGCCACCAGTGATCCCATCACCACCACCAGTCCATCAATGTCACCAGCGATCCCATCGCCACCACCAGTGATCCCATCACCACCAGCGATCTTATCGCCACCACCAGCGATCCATCGCCACCACCAACACCAGCGATCTCATCGCCATACCACCACCACCAGCGATCCCATTTTTGCCTTATCGACCTCGAGAGGACGATCTTATGTTACCTCTCTCCATTCCAGATCAGAATTCACTGTTGAATTCGATTCAGATGATGAATTTGAATCGATTCAACAGTGAATTCAGTTCTGACCATGAGTTCACCTTCATACTCGTGGTCAGAATCGGACGGAGAAGGAGAGAGAAACATTTTATCTCCTCGAGGAAAAGAAATGATGGTGATAATGATTATGATGTTGGTTATGATGATGATGATGAGAAGATGAAACTTTTAATTAAAAAAATATGGTTTGATGATGATGATGTTGATGATGATGACGATTTTTGGCTCATCAAATAAATGAATTTTATAAAACTTTAGTTTTTAATAATTATTTAATTCGGGGTAGCATAACGTGACTCCTCCTCTTTCACGTTATGCTACATACCTACTACTAATGTGCTTAAATGATTAGTTCTAATTAAAGGTTTATTATTTTTTGTTTGTTCTTTCGGTGATTTGATAATCATAACAGTAAATAATCGAGAGAAATTATTCTGACTGATATTCGATCAATCAATAAGGATGAAGATAATACCATTTGGAAGAAAGAGAGAGAGAGAAGTGAAAATGAATTGCAATAAGAAAAGAGACAAAGACTACAAGAGAAAGAGAGAAAGAGAGAGAGAGAGAGAGAGAGAGAGAGAGATGACCACAAGTGGACAGTAAATTTAGAAGGTAAGTTAAGATGTTAAGAGAATAAGAAGTTAAGATGTAACTGTTTCATTAAGTTTTCTTTTATCTCCATCATCTCTTATCATCTTCATCTATTCTATAAGCTACATCTCCTTCATCTTCTTCCTCGTTTTCTTCTTCATCACCATCATCATCTTTATAACATTCTTACTAATGGACAGTCCAGTTTCCATCTAATACTGGACAACAATGAAATCTTAAACCTTTTCTTAAGGATTTACTTACAAATGTGACAACGTGATCATCTTATTATTATTTTTTTTCTTTCTACCAAAATCTGATCAATAATAATCAATGGACCGACGATGAAATCAATTGTCCAGTAAAAAATTGTCTAATCAGCTAAAATGACCACAAGAAACCAAGTATGAGACAAAACATTATCAGACTGGTTAACTTAATCATTTGCTTAGGGTTGATTAACCATTGGATTAATAAAGTTATTGTCATAAAACAAAGCTAATTGTTGATAACCGTTATTGATTAAGGTTAATTATGATGTTAATTTTGCTTTCGAGAATCAATAAAAGTGTCTTAATCAGTTAATCATCAAATGTTAACTTTATTATCATTGACAAAATGATAATGGTTAAGATTAATGTTTACATTTGAAAGACTAAGAAAATCAATAGTGATTAATATTAAACTTTAATCACCATGATAATAAATTCAATTGACTGATTGTTTTGATGGTTCTCCAATGACAATTATCATTAAATAATTGAAATCAGTTTCTCGACTGATTAATCAAATCTAATTTACCATGCAACATATCACTAAATCATATTAGATGATTTTCTTAATCAATTCCGATGATAACAAACTAGTAATCAATGAGATTTTCAATTGATTGTCTTGGTCAATGTTAATAACTGACCAGAAAAAAAACTAATGTCACAATTTAATTGTAGTTGTTAGATTGATCTGATTGAGGTTTGAATACAATTACAAGTAAATTGTTCATTCAAATGATGATGATACTCAGTAAATGACTTAATTGTTTAGCCATTGATTGCTGTATTATATTGTTGATAAAAGTAAAGTAAAATATCAAATTAATCAGACTAATTATAATCATCCGTTAATTTTATCCTTCCATTCAAAACCAGATAACAATGAATTGTAACCAACTCAAATTAACCTTAATTGCATTGAATCATGAATGAGAAAAGAGTTAATTGATTAGCAATGATTTAATGTTTACTAATTATTTTTATTAATATTAATTTTATGTAAATGATTAAATGTTTTCTCATTGATTATTATAGACAAACAAATTAATATTGTCATCAAGATTATATTAGATTAATGATATTTTAATAATCTCTCCAAGTCAACTAGCTAATTATTAATCATCTTAATAGTTAATTAGATTATCATTTAGATTCAAAATTTATATGAATAATTTTTTTCTATCTTAAATTGATAATAAGTAAACAAAATGTCGAAACGTTGATATCATTTGAAATGTGAAGAAATGAATTGCTTGAGGTCAACTGAATACTGACCAGTGTAGGAAGTGAGAGACAATCAAGTGATAATCAACTACGACAATCAACCGGAAAGTCCAAGACCAAATACAAAAGATTCAATTCAGTTCAATTCCAAAAGGAATAATAAAAAATGTTATTAACCAGAATGAATGTTGTTCACTATTAAAGGAATCAAATCAAACGAAAAGCAATCAAATTTAATTTACTTTCATTTTCACACTTATCAAGACAATTAGTTTGTTAGTTATTCTAATTTCCTGATAATCAATAAAATTAGTCGAGATATTGATTACAATCAATATCTTAATCACCATCAGTATCTAAGCTAAGATGATAATGAATAAAATCAGGTAATTTGATGAATTAAAATATCATATCAACATTTTGCTTGTAACTTAATTAAACTTCATCTTTGATTGACAATTAACCACAATCATCATCTTGAAATGTGAAAACTTCATTCATTAAGATTACCAATTCTAGTGAAGATCATCAAATACTAATAATAACCGAAAGTAAGATGCAACAATCAACTAATTACACGATGATTACATATTTAATCATCAGTTAATAGCCAACAATCAGTTAATTATGCTAAAGAAAATGATATCCACCTCTATATACATGAATACCCCTGATATTATCAATACATATCAATATTATATTTCATCTGAAATGATTGATCAGCTAAATTAAGATTCACTAGTTATCATATTAATTTGCATATCTATCAATTCAATTGAATGTTGATAAGATTCATTTTTTTAATCATTACCTAAATTGCTTCAATCTCCTATTCATGTATTAACATGTTTATCCATTTCATTATCATGATGATTAATATATTATCATGATAAATATGAATACATGGATAATGTTCAATATTATGGATAGAAAAATGTTCAACTGGAAAATTTTTTCTCAATCAACCTTATAAATAATTCATTCACAATCGGATTTAAATTTCTCAACTAAATTGTTCAATGGGTTCATCGTAGTGAAAGTATTTTAAACTAAATTAATTTAATTGTCAATAATGATGATCAACAATCAATTTGTCAACTGAAATTTGAAATTTTGTTTTCTTTTGGCTACAATTTAAATTGATTGCGAGAAATTAAAATGAATGTCATTAAATTGTTGTAAAAATGTTATTGTTTCATTACAATAGTTAATCGGATTAGTTAACTATCATCATTAGATTTTCATATTATCCAGTTAATTGGTATTGAATTAATGTTGACAATTAGGAAACAAGTGAATCTTTATTTGTAATCAATTGAACTTACATTATGATTGAAATGATTGATTGTGTAACGTTAATTGTTGATATAATTAGTTGAAGGTGATATTTGGCTCTTAATTGTTTGGACGATGATTGGAATGGTAAAAATTTGATTGTCCTGATTAGGAGATTTAAATTGTGATTAGTTTTTAATACTTGTTGATTGTTTTATCTGTGATTTATGATATGATTATCTCATTGATTTGACAATTAAATGATTACAACTTTTGATGGATTAGGAAACGTATTGAGAAATGATGACAATTATGAAAACAATTAAAAGGATTAATGTAAATCCAACGGCGATCAGGATTAAAAACATCACAACCTTTTTGATTGATTAATACTTATTACTAATTAAAGTTGTTAATGACAATTTATTTTGCTAATCACAGTTGATTTAAAAGGTAAAAGGGAAACAAATTAAATGAGTTTTACTGTAATTGTTGTGATAATCATGAGAGTCAAGTTAATTGAGTAATTTGAAAATCGACGAGGAAATAAAATTTGATGATTTGTGATGACAATTTGAGCACAGTAACTTTTTGAATTGAATTTGTTTCCAATTAAATCAAATGAGATCTAGAAATGATCGTAATTGCAATTGATTGTTGATTGTTTGTTGATAAAAGGAAATTTAAAAATCTAGGATACTCGATGAGGCAATAATAATAGTATGCAAACATGAAAAGAAAAGGTTTAATAATGAATGAAATAAATTAACAGAGAAAGTGACGAAGATGATGATGATGATGATGATGAGAAGAAGCAATAGGAAGAAGATGATGGGTTTTATTGAATAGAAATAAACTGTAAAGAGGTTGAGATTGTTAAAGTAGCTCGATCAAGTGATGAGGATGAAAAGAAGAGACAAAAAATGGAGTGAAACAAGTTGACAAGAAGAGAGAAAGAGAGAGAGAGATCGATAGAGTGAGAATCAGAATGAGGATGAGGATGAAGATGAAAAATGCTGAATGCTGAATGCAATATACTCATGAGCATCAATTGTAACCAAAAGATGTTACAATTTTTGGTTAATATACCTGAGGAAAAGGAGACGAAGAAGGAAAGTTCAAGTGGAATGGAATGGAAGATGAGAAATGGGGAAGAGGGAGAAGGATGAAGATGTTGGAATGAGATGAGGAAAGACTCAAGTTGGATGATGATGATGGAAATTGTGATGAGGAGAATGTTGAAAAAAAATCTAAAAGAATGTGAATCAACAATATTATTAGTTAACAGAAATAACATAGAATCCAAGTTGATGCGATTCATTGATCTGAACATAATAGGTTAGTACATTTCTATCATCAGATATTATTATCATTACGACTAAAACTGAATAATTGTTTGAATAAATCATTAAATTGATTTTGTTTGTATTTATGGTTAAAGGGAAACTATTTTAAATGGTCGAGAAACTTTTCTAAATTAAATTACTGGAGCACCTTCACAATCAATCACAATCAAATTGCTCGCGGTAAATGCAAGTGAAACTATTAATAGATGGTTGTTACTTTTTCGTTCTCGAAACTTGATTATCTTAATTGCCATTGATTCTAAGTAGTGGTTATTAGAATCAAATTAATGGTCATTCTGATGAACTTTCGGCGAAATTTAATTAGGATCGGAATCGCAATTAGAATTTGATTTACTTTTCTAATCAATTCTCGATTTATTCATCGTAGGAAAATCAATTATTTTCAAATAGTTTATCAACTAATCAACATAAAATATCGAATGAAATTGACAATCAACTAAGTCTTGCTAATTGTTGGTTGGATTGAGTTTTTTAATGATTAACTGGGATACTTTAAGTGCTGCCATCTTTTGGACGCAATTAAGATTATCTCTTAATCATCTGTTATTTTTTATCTTGATTGTTTCACTTTTCTTATTAATCTGATTGTCAGCAATCAAGGATCTTCTTAATTATTGATTAAAAAAGAGTTTATTTAAGGATATTGATTGTCACAAAGGGAACGAGTAATTTGTTGGTCAAATGGTCAGTCAAACATTTTTAATGATTAACTGGTAAACAATTTGATCTCTATGGTGATGTTTCATTTTAGATATGTTATTGATTAGTTAATCAATTATGATCAATTTCTGGCATCACCAGAAATAGTGTGTAAGTATTTTTATTATTTGTCTCTGGTGATCACTTTTGATTGTATCATCAAATATTAATCGAAAGATATAAATTTTCACTTTGGACCAAGATCCAAGTTCTAATTGTTTTTAATTGTTATCCGATTAACTATCTTTCCAGATCATTCGATATTTTTGGACAATCAATAGTCACTCCAATTTATCAATGGCCCATGTGATTCCCCTCTATTGCTACTGTTACCATTATTTGGCTGATAATTGATTCTCTCCTGTCTCTAATTGATTACTGATTACTTGAGAAAAATTATCGATAATCAGTCCACTTAATCAGAATCCTAGACGTTGAAAGAAATTACCAGAGAATCAAATGAGGAAGAGATTCAATCATTTCTCACTATCATCGAATCGATTCCTAATTGCAGCTGAAAAAATCTCGTAATTTAAATGTAACATTATTTTCGACAATTAATATTTGAACTAATACGATTTAGATGAAGTCACAAACTCGAAGTCGATCTGATCACGATGATTGAATCGCTATTCTCAATACTCATTGTAACCAATTTGATTTAGTATCTTCACTAATTTCTTATTGATTAATTCAACGAATCAGTTAATTGATTAGATGATTAAAATCAATCCACTATTTTCAATCTAATTGTGAACAAATCAATTTGGAGTATACAATTTACCAAATGATTTTTACACTTGCAATCAGATTGGAAATCATCACTTTCGGTTGATTAGTTGATATTAACACTTTGATGCTTTTGAAGTAATTATCTAATTGTAATCAGTTTTATCTCAATGAACTTTTAATATCCTTTATGATTAACTGATTAACGCTATTAAATGACAAATTAACTGTAATCTCTTTCTATCACTTACTTTTCCTATTCTTGCAATTAAAGTTAATCATCAAGGAAACAATTTAGAGGTAAGACAAGGTTGTTGAGATAATCAAGCAACAATTAGTAATTTTAAATCGTTTCCATTATCAAATATTAATGAGAAAATGTTTAATTGTTAATTGACGTTTGAATCTAACTTTTTTTTTCATTATCTTCAAGTGTGTTAATTATTACAATTAACAGATGATTGACCTAAACCACCTTACAATTAACTGTTGATTGTCTCAATTTATTGTCAAATAAAACAATGATTTAAGTTTGATGATTTACCTTGATAATTAATTGTTACGATTAAACCATCAATTGATATGGATCAGGAAAAAATTATATCACTAATTAAAATTTATTCCCAATGATTGTAAGTAATAAATTGTTACCCTAATGAGATGATTTAATTTGACAATCAACTCTAATTGTGATAAGTGCAAAGTTTTTTTTGTTATTATTATTGCAACAACAATTAACTAATTTCGTTTATTAATAGCTTACCTTGTGTACAGAATTGATTTGCAATCGTGTAAAAAAAAAATTAACTGAAAAGATCTTAATTGTCACAATTAACCACAATGATTAGGGAATCTAAATCTCCCTCTACAGTGATAACCTTTTCATCTGCTTCTTGTTAATTGTTACAATTAGTAGAAAGTGAGTAAATTGTTAATCATACCATCAACATAAAGGCTGATTATTAACTGACAACATTTAATTGTTAATTGATTGTGATCATTTCATATCTTCAATTTATATATATTATATTGTTAATTGAAATGACGATCCAAACAACGTGTCAACTAAACAATTAAATAGATCAAAGAAATCAAAAAGGGAAATTAACAAATTAATCGATGACAATTAAAGGAAAAAAAAAAAATGAAACAATTAAGTAATCTAAATTATCGACAATTAATAAAACGAATCAGGACAGTTCTCATTGGCAATAAAAACACAATCAATTTAATTTTCACCTTGTCAAGGTAATTTGTTAATCCAATTAACCAGAGGTGCAATTAGAAATCGTTGAACAATCAACAAGTTATTAAAGTTTTCGGGATCGACAACAATTAACAATTAACTGATTGGAAATCACAGAAAAATATCAACAATTGATCCTCATTTCGAGTGCTTTTTGTACCCGAGAGCCGAAAGTGACCTGAGACTTGGACCTCATCATCTTCATGCATGATCATCGAGAGACTCTCTCACTTTATCATCTTCCTCTTTCTCTATTTCGACTATCTTACTTTTCCCTCTCTTTTCTCTCCACCATCATCATCATCATCATCATCATCTCTCTCTCTCTCTCTCTCTCTCTCTCTCTCTCTCTCTCTCTCTCTCTCTCTCTCTCTCTCTCTCTCTCTCTCTTCCTTATCTTCCTCCATAGAGACTCATAATCACTCCCTGTTCCTATCGAATTAGTAAATATCATCTTCATCTTCATCTTCTTTTTCCCCCTCTCTTATCATCAATTTATCTTCTTCTTTCTTTTTCTCAATCCATTTATCTTATTAACCTTTTAACTTTTCGTCTTCTAATCACAAAATGCTCTGATCATTTAAGCTCACAATTAACTAGATAATTTGATTCCCCGTCTGTTTATGTTCCCTTAATGTTAACAATTAACTTAATCACATTTTATCCTAATCAATAATTAGAGACACAGTGAAATAAAACTTATAATAAATTATTGTTAATCTTTAGTTTTTAATGTAGCAATTTATGTTTTATTTTATTGTTATCATTGATTGTTGGTAAGTTATTAAGTAGTTATGAATAATTAAGTAGTTAGAACTTTTTTGTTATGTTGAATTAAAAAAAACAAATTAAGAAAAATAATTTAACTTTTTAGGAAATGATTAACTAGATGTGTATTCATTTGATTGTTTTCTTAGTTTAAAGTAAATTAAAGTTAATTGTATCAAATAAATTGTATTAATTAAAAGTTTCCCATTTAGTGTGTTTGTTTTCATTTCTGATTGCGACCCAATTTAATTGTTTGATTGTTGATGATTTTATGTTAAATCATATTCGTTGGTAATTGTGTTTGGGTGGAAGTTGTTGATTTGTAAAAAGCGGGAAAACTTGACATGAGAGAGAGTAAATTGGGAGATAAATGTAAAAATAGGATGAAAATAGGAGACAAAAAATAGGATAAGACAATAGGAGAGTGGACAATGGGCAGTTGTAAGGTCGGGGCGAGGGTTGAAAAGGGTAAAGGTTTGGTGGGAATCGAATTGCTTGTTGTTGGTGTTTAGATGGTTCGAGGTGAGGACGAAAGGGAAAAGAGGAAGTGGTGTAAGTAAAAGGGAAATTAAAAAAGAGGAAATGTCGCCGATCAAAGGCTTCCTCGTGTTTATATAAAGATATTTTGATCTCAAGGCAATTTGGCTGTGATTTAGTTAATTGTTGACTCGAATTCTTTCATGTTTTCCATTGCATGATTGTGATTAATTAATATTCTTTTCTTCACTTGATCAAGGTATCAGTGATTGATTGTTCTTAATTTGTAAACTTGACTCTTCAAGTCGAATTGAACTTATTTCTCTGATTCGATGTTGAAGAATTAACTGATTTGTTAGAATACGAAGTCTCTCTCGATTTTTAGCATTCTCTTCTTCAGCAATTTTATCTTCCTCCTTATCACCAGGAACAAGAGCATCGGATAGATTCAATTGTGGAATACGATGAATAAGGGCGAGCCAAACCATGATCATTGAGAGGCCGAAAAACAGGTAGACCACAATAACGAAAGGATACAAAAGATCGGCAACTGGCCCTTCGATACCTGGAACAAAGTCACCTAGCCCAATGGTGGTCAGGGAGATGAAGCAGCAATAGAACGACTCAAGATAAGTCCAATCGTCCTCATTGAGGTAAAAAAAATAGGCCGGAATGAAAAGGCAGATAACCATTAGGAACGAAGTGATTATCACAAGGTGGATTATTCGAACAGTGAAAACGGAAGCTGATCGATGAAGATAGATTATTATTCGTATGAGCCAAGCTTCTAATCGTTTAACTGGACCACGGACAAAGATTGTTACCAGGGTGGAAAAGAAGGTCAAAGTTGCAGGTACACCGAAAATACAGAAAACGATACAAGTGATTTTACCGGTAACAGTGAGAGGAGTCAAATTACCATAACCAATGGTGGTAACCAGAGAGGTGACAAATAAAAGGGATGAACTGAATCGCCAATTGGTTATTGATCTGATCGGTGCTAATTTAATGGTTGACCTGTTGTTGGCCGTCTTGTTTTCTAGGTCATCGGCTATTTCGTAAGAAACTAAGGCCTCGTTGGTTGCATTTAGAGACAAAATTGGGGAAGAAGATGTTGACTTGTCAATCGGTTTAGATTTTCTTAATCGTAAAGTTGATTTACTTGTAGTTTCGCTCGGTGGCGATTGAGTTGTTTCATCTGATGGCGAAGACGAATCTTCATCTTTACCATCCGAACGCTCTGTCTGTTCATTCATCGGGTCCTCGCTTATAACTAAATCGTCACCAACAATTGGCACATAATAACCATCTTCTTGAGCTTTTAATATCACCGTGAGTAATTGTTTAATATCCTCCACTGGATTAAAATAAAAGAGAAAAAAGAACAATTTAAGAAAAAGAACAAAAAAAAAGAGGGAAAACAAGACAAAGGATTAACCGATTAGCAGTCACAATAATCAGATGATCAAAGCAAAAGATATATTGTGACAAATGAACAGATTAATCTGAGTAATAAATCAACCCGACTAATATAATTGATGATTAAATCTGATATGTACTTCAGTTAAATGGATTAAAAAGGTTCACCGGTAAATCAAAAGATTGGTGACATTTATAGACATTGATTTAAGTTTTTCTCTCTCTCTCTCTCTTTAAGTTACTGTTGATGATAATTGTTTTGTCTAATCTATTGTTAAATTTACAATCTTAATCAATCAATTTATCGTTGATTCATTATTACATCAGGTAACAAAAAGAAAAGGAAGCAAAATATGAAGAGGTGACATTTTAATCTTGTCAGTACAATTAACTCTTCAAGACATCAACGGGGTGGTGATGGTGGATAAGAGTTGACAATTGTGGTGGTGGTGGTTAAGTTTAACAAAAGTCTTTTCTCACCTTCAACATGAGGATATTTGGAGAGAAATGATTCCTGAACAGAAATGAGATCACCTCTTGATTCAATTTCTCTTGGTTGTTCAATGATCAAGAAAATGATGGCACCAAACATGAGGAAAACAACATAGAACGAGGTAAAGAAAAAGAAATTGATCTTTGGATGTTTACTTGTACAATAGGTGGTAATTTCATCGTCCTTAATTGGATAGTCCGAGTCACTATAGCCGATGTCATATTTGTCACTATTAAAGGTTTGATAGTTACTTGAGGCTCTCTCATTGATAATTGCACTAAGTGATGTGGATGCTTGTTGGTGTTGTTGCTGTGAATTTGATGGTTGATAGAGATGATTAAAGGCTGGATAATGTTGCTGGTTGCCTTGTGGTGATTGAGATTGTTGATGTTGTTCATTATTATTATCACTTTGAATATTTCTCTCAGTGGCAACAAGAATTGGTAACATCTCTTTGGGAAGAAAAACTTTCAATTGGTAACTATAAATACATTTGATGAATTGACCAAGAAAAAAAAACACAATAATAATAAATAAGAAGATCTAGTTGATTTTATATATGTATGTACTTTGCTGTGTGTACACTATCAAAATGGTTTACAGTTGAATGGATTATCTATGTTAAAGTTAATTTGAAATACACAAAAGAGAAAATGATTTACTGAGAGAGAAAGTGAGTGACAAAGATGGAGGATTATCACTTTAATCTCATCTCTCAAAGCGACGAAACTTTAATACACGAGATGATAACGTGTCTATGGTTGTAAATAAACTGTTTAGCTTTTAAATTGTCTCATGGAACTTACAATAGAAAAAAAAACTCTAAGTTGTCTTTTAATTATCTCTTAATTAGTATTAGAAATAATTAGTTACTAATTGTTAAAGTTATTTTTGTTTTGTTAGAAAAGAACTTGGATGATTAATCGATTTTTAATCGATTTTTTAGTATTTTTTCTCTTCCCGCAAATCGATGTGATTGTTTATTTTACCATTTTTTGTTTCCCTTTTTATTGTCTTTTTAATTCAAAATTTAAATTAATCCACAATCTTATGGCCACATGGTTGAGGAAAATGAATCTTGTCGAGAAAAAAATTGAACCAATTTGATAATTAAAGTTCAATTATTGAACTTCAATAATTGAAGTTTAAATGAATAGAACAAGAAGTGACATCTAACGGGAATTTAGGAAACGTCAAATTTTCTCAATTTTTGAAAATTTTTTTTATCATTCTTTCAATGGTTTTAGTATCTTAATGGATTCAGCCTTGGTCAGTTAATTGTAATTATAATTCGAGAGTTAGATTATTATGCTGAATCTTTAATTGTAAATTGATTGAAAATTTTTACGCCATCAGTAGGTATTTGATCGGTACTCTTGGTAGTCCTCTTCGAACCAAATATTAGGAGAATGCCAAATATTCAAGTGAGGCCAAAATCGAGGCTAAATGTTGTACCAACGGTTTATTATTACGAGTATCTTTTTACGAAGTGATCACAATCTCATAAGAAGAGCGGATTCCTCTTGGATGTTGTGTTTCGATTGTCAATTTGATGCTTCGAAATCAATAACTCATGAAGAAACTAATCCAAGTCATGTACCGTCACCCGAAAATCTAACCACTTTCTTGGTGAAAATCTGAAGCCAATTTGTATGTATTTTAATTTGATATTGAATTTAAATTGGCTGATTTACTTTTCACTCTACGAAATTTCATCTAATTAATAATTAAGCTGAAAAATATGAGCTTCGAGTTATTAATTGTTATCAATTTGTTTTTATTATCAATTATTTTTTGTCTGATAACAAATATTATTCATTAAAATGCTGAAGAGAAAAAGATTGATGAGAATGAGAGAGAAAAGGAAGGTAAAAGGTAAGGAAGTGAGTGAATGAGTGAGTGGATTGTGTTCACTCAGGTGAATAGTAAATTCAATTCATTTTAGTAAAACATCAACAATCATGATCATCATTTCATGAACAATCATGTTGATGAAAAGGATGAGAAAGAGAGAGAGAGAGAGATAGAGAGAGCGGGATATTACTCACTCTCATTCAATTTTCTTTCTCCTCTTGAAACTCTTTCTTTTTTTCTCTCATTTTCGAATCTTTCCTCTCTCTCTCCATCTCACTTTCTCTCTATTTTTTCATCAAGTAAACAACTTTTTTTTCTTCAATCATTTCATTCATCTCTTTTTTCGTTCTCTTCATACGAAATTCAATACAACCATCTCCTTCTCTCTCCCTCTCCCTCCCTCTCTCTCTCACTCTAATCCTGGTTCATCATTCTCCAATTCGTCATCTTAATCCTTGTTCCATTCTATCAGTTATAATCCTTAATCGTAATCATCGATTTCCTCTCACTGTAAACTTTAATTCGCAACCATAAACAACATCCTCTCTCTCTCCCTTCCAATCCTGGTAACCTAATCAAAGAGAGATAGTTGCTAACAGTTAAAGCTTTTCTCTCTCAAAATTTATCATCATCTTTATCATCATCAACTATTATTTCCATAGGAAAGACTCACCATTTCGGTTATCAGATTAACCAGAAACACTTACAAGAAGATAAGAACCAACAACAACCACCGAGACTTTGTTTCGGTTTATCTCTCGTCTTTGTTTCCATTTTTCCCCAATAATCATCATCATGGATTTTTAATTGTGTACATACATTTCTCTCTCTGGATTACCTGTTAATCAGTGTAAACAACAATCAACTAATTGTTCGCCTCCATAGTTGTAAAGTCTACAAAATATTCTGATCAAACTGAGAAAAATTCTGTGACCGGTTAATGTGAACCTTTTGCCGTTTCTCTCACTGATTTTCACCTACTGATCTCCAATTTACTTTTCTCACGGTTAATTGTTGTAACCAAATTAAATACAATTAAAGTGAGAGAGAAAGTGAGAGATGACAAATGCAAGGTGTGCTCTCTATTCAGCAAATTCAGCGATTCTGGTGAGTATTACATTCGTTATGGTGAACAATTTGCTATTATTATTATTATTATTATTTTGTTCCAAATTCTAAATCAATTGTTTTCCCTCCTTTTATCGAAAACAGTGTCTTGGTGTCATCTTAATTACGACGAGTATCATGATTCGAGCTGATCCCGTTTTCTATCAATTTACTCGTCATCTTGAATTGGATCGTTATTATATCGCTTGTTACCTCTCAATCTCTTCAGGGATCATCTTAATCTTTGTTTCTTTCATTGGGTGTGTTGGTGTTTCTCTTCAAAAACATCATTTCTTTTTATTGGTGAGCATCATCATCATCATCATCCTGGAATATCATATTAATCATCATTATCATGAAATTCATTTTTCTATCCTCATAGAATTCATAGATTCCCATTAGAGATAATATTATATTATATTGAGAAAAGAAAACAATAATTTCCAGTTCAACCCAATATCTAAAAATCACCCCACCCTCACACCATCAACAACCTCATTTGACAGATTACATTTTACTGACACCAATTGATTATCGGTAATCAATGTGACCCTTTCATGATACAATTAGAATTGTTCATCAATCGTTCATCATTTCGGTGATTTAGATGTTAATGTGTCAATTAGAGTTAATTGTTGTTTACCTTTGAAAATCGACTAAAGAAAAAAAAAACTTCGACCTTGTAGTTTGTTTCATTTTTTTTCTCTTCTCTTTTTTTCTCATCATCATCATCATCTCTCCCTCTCTCAATCTCTCTCCAGGTAATTGACTTGAATTACTTTTCTCAATTCTTGTTGATAGCGTGATGACTGAATTAACTTTAATTCGTATCACAATTTGATAGATTTAAATGTTTTTCTATCTATTTTTTTTTCTGTCCATCAATCTGATTATCCGAACCTTCAATCAATTATTTTTTTCCCATCTCTCTCTCTCTCTCATTAGTTTACCTTAATCATCACCAGAACTCATGATTAACTAACGACTATTGATTCATGATTATAATCTTGATTGTAGTTAATTAGACATAAATACTCTTCTAATTGGATTTAATTTTCACCTATTAACTCAAATCAATTTAAATCCAATAAGATAATCACTTATCCCCTGTTGTCTTATTCAGTTGATTGTTTATTCATTTTTTTCTGGTCAATCTAATCAACTTTATGTTAATTTGTTTTGAAACGATTCGGCTTCCGATCATTTCTAATGATTAGTTGATTGTTTGTGTGTGTGAATTTCATATATTTTAGATTTAATCAGTTATGAAAATTGACAAACCATGAAAATGTCTATTTATAGCTGATCAATGAATGAACTTTTACCTGATTTAAGTGAAGAGAAAGAAAAAAAAAGTTCTAATCAATTGAATTCGAAATGTATTATTCAAACAATCGAATCTTTTCTTTTCTTTTTATTAATATACAATAATCGATAATTGTCCATTCAATTAATTCGCTTTTTCCTTCTAATTTTCGTACTTCTAATCAAATTAATTCTCTTTCTCTTTTCTCCCTCTTAACTTTTCTCACTTAGTGAGTGGTAACAATTTAGTAATCATGTTAATCTCCAATGAAACTGAAGCCAAGAATCACCAGGAAAAAGACACTTGAGATATTAGATTCATGAGGAGATTAAGTGTATGACAAGATTGGAGAGACATCAACAAATACCTTGATTATAATGATGATTAAGATTAAGATTAAGATTGTGGATTATGAGAAAAGTATATTTACCATCAATATAAGATTAAAATGAAAGAGAAAAGGATTTAACTGGTCAGTTTCATGTTGAAATGGTGGATTTTCACAAACGTCTATCATCATGAGGATATTATATCAGATTGAAAGAGGGAATCAAATCAAATTGATTATTTCAAACTTAAATTGATTATAATCTTTATCGTTGATTGTTCATATAAAAACGATGCTCATTGAACGGTTTACTTTCATTCCGTTAACGGCCTGTCCAAACCTCGAGATTTAGGTCACCCAACTACCGATAATAACGATAACAATGAAAGATGATGATGATAAAGAAACAAAATTAAATGGAGATTTAATCATCATCATCCCGAATGAGTGATTACGATGAAAATTACAATCAATGTTAAGTAATTTGAACAACAATAACAATCAGTGAGAAATATTTACCTGGTGGAAGGTCAATCGTCTCTCTCACACACACACAATCAATTAATTTAATTCCTTCTTAATCAATTGATTACTTGACCTTAAATTATGTTCATATGGAAATTGTATAACTAATCATCATGACTCATGAAATATTCAATCAACTTATTGAAACTTTTGCCCGATACAAAGGATATAGATTATCATTGAGTTTCTTATTCATTTTCAACTGAAACTTTCATGTTTTCATTGAAATCACCATGATAATTATGCTGAGACTTTCACCCAACCTAAATTTTTCACTTTCATTTTATTTTGAACTTTTTTTTTCTTCTAATTTCATTTTTCAAGGTTATTAATGCTTCTATTATCATTATTATCCTCATCATCATCATCATTATCATCATTCAGTCACTCAGTTAATATACTTACATGATGATTACCTTCAGAAAGTTGTTTCAACTCAGTTGGTTAACTTGAAGAAAAACAAACTGAATAAGTTTCAATTTTAGTGAAACAAAATTCTGATTTCATTTGATTGTTACTTTTACTTAATTGTTACTTAACTTAATGCAATTAGTTGACATTGAAAACATGTAATTCAATCAACTTGAAGCTATTATTATATTGGTAGTTGATGACTGATTAATTGTGTTTCTTTGTTAATCTTAATCACTAATCTTGGTAAATTAACTTTGCGATTCTTGGGTCATGATCTTTGATGATCAAAGTTAATTGTTAGTTGCTAATTGTTGTTTACCTTTCCTTTTTTTTGTTTACTTGTGTTAATCAAGATTTTTCAAGGTTAATTATACATTAATTGTTTGATTAATTGTTGTGATTAAATCTTCAACAAGTGATTATCTTTGCAGTGATAGCAGTTTTCCAATCTCTATCTTCCCAAAACAATTAACTGATTGTCTCAATGATTAATAAACAATTTCAATTCCATGGGTTTGTTTTTCTTTATGGGAAAATGATTAGTTAATTAATCAATTCATGGATTAATTGTAATCATTATATTAATTGCTGATTGTCTTTACTTGATTTCGTATGATTTATGATATCCTGTTGAATTTGCTTTTCTCATTTTAATTGTTCCATCAAACTAAATTGTTGTATCTCTTGATTAACTTATTTGGGTGACAATTTACCCTCTAATTGTTCAACTCAATATTACAACAATCAACTAACTCATCTTTTTGCTATTAACTTAACCATTTAACTGTTTCACTTGATCAATAATCACCAATACATTACCAATTGTCCAATAACTATTATCATTTAGTTGATGATTAACAATTCAATCATTAATCAAGTCCCTCAATCCACTGATCTTAATTGTCATCTCATTTTAAAACTTTAATTAACCTACTAAAGGTTGTTAATTGTTGTTCTTTCTCCTTAATTATCAACAGTACTGTGCTCTGGTTGTTGTTTGTGTCTCACTAGGAATTGCTGTTTGCTCACTGGTCTGGAAATTAACTAATAATGATCAGGTACAATTTCAATTTAGTCTTAATTGTGATTCGATTTTATGTCAGAATAAACTTTCAATTAACTTTTTTTTCTCTTCATCTTTCCAATTTAGTCAATTAATACACTTCGATTGGAGATATTGGAACATATTCAACGACGTTACGATACTGATCTTTCTTATCGATTCCTTGAGGTTCTACAAAATAAGGTAACGAAGATCTAAGTTAATTGTTGACCAATTAAAAGCTTCTAATTGCTAGTAAGTTGATCATAATTTTTAATTTTTCTTCTCGTAATTCATTAGTTAACCTGTTGTGGAGCTGAATCTGAGCGCGATTATGGTGACCGTGAATGGGTTCCATGTCCAATCGAGTCTACAACTCATCCTCAGGTAAATTTGATTAATCAATTGATAACAACAAGTAAATTTGCTCCTTTAATTGTGATAATTAAACTAATCAATTAATTGATTATCTCCTTAGGGATGTGCTGAAAGTTTACAAAGTTCATTGGATGTTAAAAGCGGAATCCTTGGTGGACTGAACATCCTGGCGATGTCGTTACAATTATTAAGTGTATTTATCTGGTTCACCGGTGAAACTGGACCTTACAAGATGATTAAAAGTTAATCAGTTGATTAACCATAATGATTAAATATCACAATCCATATACCAGTTCAAAAGCTTTGGACATATTAACAATTATCCTGTTGACCACAAGCACTGACCCAATCCCGAAGTTAAATCAAAATTGATACTTTATGGTCAAACAATCAACTAAACCGACATTTAATTACCTCATTGAAGAAAATTAATTTTTAATTGTTGAAAATTCATCTAAATGACAATATTTTTCTTCTTTAATTTCAAACAATTAGGTAACAAATTGAAAGTTCCCAGTTCCAAATTGTTTACCAGGAAAACAATCAACAGCAACAATTTAGATTCGAGCTTAATTTTCACAATAATCATCATATCTTCCTACCTTTTTAATCATCACAATTAAACCAAAAAAAAAGAAAGATGAAAAAAAACGAGGATCATCATTCTTTAATTGTGATCGCAGTTAATTACAATCAATTACAAGTTCTCCTTAATCATTACAATTCGTTACCTGGTTCGTTGGAGTTTAATTGTTAACTGAAAGAAAAAGTTTCGATTAATTTTGTTTTAATTCATTTTAATTTTGTCTCCTTTTAATTACTAGTCGATTGTATTAATTGTCCGAATCAAATCACAATTTGTTGTTACCAAAGTCAGACATTCATTCAAACTAAATTGTCCCTCTTTTTTTGCTGCTGACCATTGGTCAGTCAAACCAATCATTATTATCATTGTATTAACTCATAAAATTATATTTAATTACAATTACATCACTTGAATACCTTTTAATGTAAAATTATCAACAAATTGTTTCCTAATGGTGTGAATTTTACAACCAACAATTAACAAATTATCCGATTTTCTTGATTTCGCCGAGCATAATTAACTATATATAATGTTCAGTGGATTTTACCACAAAACAATTAACTTAATTAGAGTTAATTGATATAAATATAATGATATAAATTGATTATTATTTATGATAAAAAGAAATCAAATCAATTAATCGATTGGTGTATAAACAGAAAAAACTAATTGTAATTGTAATTTAATTCACTTCTCATTGATTACAGGTTTATCGACATTGTCACAATTAAAAACATTTGTATGACAATTTAATGATTAACAATTAGTCTCACCATGTGAGTAAAACCCAATAAAGTTATTTAATTAATGACAATTAAACCTACAGGTGAATTAATAGTGATCATAATATCAAAGGAAAACCCAATTGAAACTGAAAACATAAACAACAGTTGTAAATTGTAGTTGATTGTAGAAAGACAAACCTTAATTGTAATCAGTGTTTCCAATTGATTGTAATCGATTAATTGTTGATTTCTTCAAGCTAAATCAATGTCAGAATATCAAAGTACCCTTGATTTGGTCGCAAACGAGGAATCAAAGGTTAGTGAGGAACAAAAAAGTCGACATAATTTCCCTTGTTGAGATGTTAATTGTTTCGTTTAGATTTCTGATTGTTGGATTAAAGATGGTAAAGAAATAGTAATTAATAAACAATCAAATTCAGTGGTGAAAACAAATTCTCATGGAAAAGAAAACAACAATTTACCTCAATTTGATTCCAATGGTGAAGATGAGCCAAAATTCCGCCGGGAAAAACTTCCATCAATCGTTGAAGGTAAACAAAGTGAACAGAATTAAATTGTATTCCAATTTTTCTTGCTTACACAAAAGTTAATTGTTCTCTAAATTGTGATTAAGGTGATTTCTCACCACTCGGGATAACCTCATTGAAACAAAGTTTCTTTGCCAAGATACGAGAAGCTCGTAGTAAATCATCAGATAAATGGACTTTCCTAATCACTTTTTTACGTGTCACCATAGGTCCATGTAAGTCCATTAATCCGGAGTTTCTTTTATCCTTTCACCTTTAATCCTAATCATCCCACCCTCACCCACGCCCTCTCTCTCTAATTATGTCCATCAACAATCAATCTTCATGATGATGAGTTAATTGGTAGAGCAAAAAATTATACATAATATATGATACCTGTTGAATTCACCTTGGAGTCTGTGCTAATTAATTGCAGGTTTTTGGGTCCTTTGTTTAATTGTCTCTTTAATTACTCCATTGTTAATGTTTCTCATCGGTAAGTTGAGTCCACTTATTGTCTCTCACTCTCATGTCCATCTTTGACCTTTCATGTGTTCCAACAGGTAGTTCATTGTTCAATGAATGTCCTAGTCACCCATCGTTACCACCATTGTTAATTATCATTGGTTTGATTACCTGTCTGGGTAATTTGATTAATATTGTTGATTCTTTCATTGGTTGGAAGACAATTCTTGGTTTCAATAGGCAAAATGGTGACTGGACACGAATTGTAATTGTCACCAATATAACAATTAATACCTGTGACCTACTGTTGACCCTTATTCTTGGTTCAATAATTGTTTTTACTTCAAAACCATCAACAAATTATTCTGATGGTGGAAACTATTGTAATCCATTGATTTACAATTTAACATGTTGGTTCATTTATCTAATTACAATCTATTCGGGTTTAATTATCATTCTACTGGCAATTAGTTTGATTGTACCTAAAATCATTAACCATTTAAATGTAAATCAAAACTCGTGAGTTTCAATTTTCTAGATTAAAAACTAATTCAACTTGCTAATTGTTTCTAGTAAATTAAATCAGTTGATTTTGTCTCATTTAAATTTAGATCTTAAATTGTAATTCTCAATTGGTATCAACTCGTTTCCCGGTGTTAATTTGATTGTTTAAATCGTGATTGAACAGTTAAATTGTTCATTTGATTTGTTTTTAATCAACAATTGTAATAATCAAAGTAAAAGTATATTCCCGTTTTGATTAACTTCACTATTAATCAAACAGCGAGAAAAAAAAGTTAATCAAGTTTTTAATCATTTTTCTGTTTCTTCCTCAATTGTAACAATTTACTGATCATCAAGTGTTGATTATTTTCGCACTTAATTGTAATTTTGTTGCTTCTTTATTACGATTCAAGGGTAGAGTTTACAATTATTATTTGAATTCTTAATTGTTGACCATTAAATGATCACTCAAATTACAGTTCATAAGAAGATAATTAAGTAATATACATTTTTGATTGTATCTTTAGGAAGCACCAATTAACAATTTAAATCGCATTTAAAGTTGATTACATTGCAAAAGATTCAACTAATAATTACAATAGTAAATTGGTGGTGATTGTTGATTATTTTCTTTGCTTTTGTTGGACAATTAAGATACGAAAGTTACAAGAAAAAAAAACAATTAAGAGAATCATAATTAACGAACTCATAAATTTTTTTTCTCTTCGTAAATCTGAATGTAAGTTAATTGACCAACGATTGGGGTCAAACTGATTGTTATTGTTAATTATAAACAGACAGTGACCATCTTTAAGGGTATTCCATTAATTGTATCACCAACACCCACTTCCACCTCCTCCATTCAACAGGTAATCACTTAAGCGATAATCCATTTCCTTGAGACTTGATGACCAAAGCTCGATGACCATTATCACAATTACCTGTATATATATAAAAACGGACTTACTTCAATTCTTGTTATTCATCTGAAAGTTATCTTGGTGTAAACATTGATCACTCGATCAACAATTGCTTCTGATCTGAATCTGTGGTCAGTGTGTGTCCAGTTCTTGTGAGATCTTAAATAGTGTTCATCATGATAAAATTGGCTCAGATTCCATTGTTAATATTGCTCCTTATGGCTCCTTATTTGATTCAATTAGTGTCCAGTGAAGGTTATTTATTCCGAGTGCCAATTCCCCATCAATTGGGAAACATAATTGACCTTCTCGCACCGATTCACATTAGATTCTCCACCGATGGACTTAAACATCCACCGTAAGTATCCAATTAGTTATCGAACACAATTAACAAATCGATTACATTAAACAACAAAACCCCTTCTTGATCTGTCCACTATTCCAGTGTCATCCGATTCCCTCTTCTTGATCTCATCAGTCGTGGTCAAATATTCAATAAACCCGGAATTCACCATCTCATCCATGGCCCTGGAATACCTTGGTAACACCACAAAAGAAACAATCAAATTAATCAACAAGAAAAACAATCTAATAACTTAAATGAACTTCAATTCTCACTATTTATCAAATGAATATCGTTTCATGTAATAAATTGGATTTTCTCACCAAAGAGAGAGCCACTGGTTTCGATTGTAAAATCTAATCAATGAACAATTTGTTAACCAAAAAGTAATGAATGACTTTTTTTTACTACCATTTGGATTTACACTTACAACTAATAACAATTAATCATTTTATTTTTTTTTCTTTTCTCCATTGATTCAAGTTGATTTTGAGAGCAGAAAATGTTAACAGAGTAAAAAATTGTTTATATTAAATTATATGAAAGAAAAAAAGAAAACAATAATTTCTTTGATTGTTTTGATCAATCAAATAGAGAAAATGAAAACTTCTGAATGAATATAATATCGATACGAACATTAATTTAGTAGCAATCAAATGAAAATCAAATGATAATCTTGATGAATATCGTGAAAATTACTATTGGTTCAACTTCAATTGTTTGTGAATTGAATTAATTGAAAACGATTAAGATATTAATGTGAATTAATCATAAAAATTTCAATCAATTATATTTTCCAACAATCAGGACAATTAAATTACTCAGGAAATTTTTGTTCCAACTCAATATGATAACAATTTGAATCCATTGATAAATAATGGAAACAATCAAATGTACAAATGGATTTATATTTACAATCAAATAAAAACAATTTAATCTTCATCAATGTTAATATATTATTAGGATAGATAATATTACAGTCATGATAATAAATATAACGGTACAATTGGTGGTCATTTTGTTGGACTTAATGTCCACTCGAAATGAATAGGAACCTCGAGTTTTGGTAAACTTTAAATTACTCTTGATAATTTGCACGAAATCAGATCATAAGAAGATGATGAAGATAATGATTGTTTCATCATCTCTCTCTCTCTCTATCTCCATCAGAACCACACCCAATTAATCTGATCAACATTTATTCATCCGAAGATACAGATTCGAAGAAGAAGAAAAAAATAATAATCGAAAAAAAAAGTTCTAACCAAAAGTTACCACACAGAGAAAACTCGATGATCCATTTAGGGTTAAGGCCTTGAGACGATGATTATATGATTAGGATGATGATGATTACTATTAATTTTATCATCATCATCATCATAATGATGACATTCATGAAAATAATCACCATCATCATGGTTATGGGACAAAACTTATGAAAGTGAAAGTGATCATAAAAAAATGGTAACAATTATAATGATAATGACTCTTTATGACGATAAAATTAATTGTAATCATAATCAGAAAATATTTATTATGATTTAGCTAATGAATAATTGATAATTATTATAATCACTACAAAAACAATTAACTTTTCATGACAAACTTTCCTCTTCACTCATTTAATCAAGTTAACTAATGATAACTTTTTTCTTCCAATGATCAAATTGATTGTTAATATTTAGATCATTTCGATTGAAATTTAATATAATAAATACACATTAGATTAACCCATGGACGAAATTATTATTATATAAATTGTTAACTTCATTTTTTTTACAACATTAATCATTAATCATAATCATTAAATAATCTCAATCTTCATTTACGATAAAAGTGAAACAATTAACTTGATTTGATTACAATTATGAATGGTATAAAGGTTGAAACCTTTGATTTCCCATTGAAATCTTGTTGAGTATCAAATTGATTACATTGGGATGATGATGATAATTATGATGATGATGAAGATAAACAATGAGCTCAAATATAAAGATAATGAATTAAGTTAGTAGAGAGGATAATGATTATGGAAAACAATTAGCTTAGAGATATGATAATGATGAATATTATGGTTGGTTGATTATCTCTTGTTGTGGTAATATGATAACAGTTTACAATTAGAATGGCCAAAAGAATTAGTAACAAAAAGTAGCATCCTCATCTTCATCCTCATCTTCATCCTCATCTTCATCCTCATCCTCATCTTCATCTTCACCATCACAAACTAAGCTTGAAATTCTGGTAAATTCATTCAAACAAACGAGAAATGCTCGTAAAAACAATCAGATCGTAAAATCTCGTGAGGATTTAATTGTTGATCTGATGAACTGAATTAGCGATCGACTTTTAAATATTAACTTTCAAAGTGTTTCCAGAAAAATGTATATCTCGATGGATAAACTGTCATTCATTGAGTTCATGATAGATGAATGAAACTTATTGAAACAAACATGAAAGGAAGTAGAAAAAATCATCTCAAATCATCAATATATTGTGATTATTATGATATAGTGATAATGATAAAGATGAAGATGATTATTCAGATGATGATGGATGATGATGATCAGTGTAAAGTTTTATAACTATTAATATTATATTGTATATAAAAGTTGGAGTAAAAATTATTAGGATCATTACACTGTCGTATATTGTTAATGATTTAGTTGAAGCAATTTCATTACTGATTAACATACCCTTGAGATGATTATGATTAGCAATTGAAATGATAATATAATAAAAAATAAAGGATTTACAATTAAGGAAATCCTATTGTTAATCACTAGAGAGATACAGAGTAATAGACAATATTTTTACAATTTAATCATCAATGATTATGGTCAAACCTTTTTGATAACATTTACTATCATCATCATGGTTATAATGCTAAAGGGTTTTAACAATGAATTAATCATTCATCTTCCTCCCACTCCTCCCTTTTTTCCTCATCCTCATCCTCATCTTCATCTTCATCTTAATCCTCTTTCTTTAATTGTATTGTCCCTTCTGGTCCTTCATATCAATTGTCATAAAAATTAGACTAAAACCTAAATTTGTAATGATTGTTACTAATGTTAACTGATTGATTGCTGGTAATCACGATAACGGTAAAAAGGGAAACTTGATCAACATGAACAAGGGGCTTAATGTTTTTATCATCATCATCATCATCCAAATGATTACCAAAGGAAAACCGTTAATATGTTAACAGTAACTTTCATTAGCCTTAGGCTATTAATGGTCAGTAATGTTATTGTGAACTTCAAGAATTAATAAACTTGGACCTTAACCAATAATATCATGAAAACTGAGAAACTTTTGATTTAATAATAATCATTACCTGTTACTAATTTGCATTAATCATGATAAACAAATGGTAATAATTTAATTGGCAACTATTTATGGACACTTTTCAGATAAATTGATTTTCCATTTACAAAGTTAATTTGATTTAATTTAATTTCAACTCTATTTTCAGGTTTTCTCATTACATCAATTCTTTATGCTTACCTTTTAAGGTAAATTTCGAGGTCAATATCAGCTGATGATGATTACTCAATAAATGATGATATTATTAGTGTTAAATTGTAATCGGTTAGCAATTTAATTTACTAAATTAATAGAATCAAGTTTATTTATATTTTTAAAATACTTGTTCCCTTTATTGGTCAATCAGGTTAATCAAGTTAAAATCAAATCTTGTGTAATAATTTGACCCAAATTGATGATGTCCTTTTTTCATTCAGAAAAGGATAATATGATGATAGTGATGATGATGATGATGGAGAAGATGGAGAAGATGGAGAAGATGATAAATATTATCTGAAACTGACTTTATTGTCGTAAGTTTTTTTATTAGTTTGTATTAAAGTGTCAAAGTGCTGAAACGTTTATTTGATTTTTACTTTTTTGTGAAAAATTTTCTTGTATCATCAGAATTACTCAACTAAACATTAGTAAATTATCATGGGTGATAAGTTAAAGTTGATCATATACTCATTTTTGATTCAAGTCATCATCATGTTAATTTGTTTACCTTCAATTTGCCTGATTAACGGAAGTAAATTTAAACTATCACTTCCCAATGGGATGCATGTTAACCTTAAGTTACCAGGATTTGATTTAAGTTCATACCCTGATCCAATTCCGTATAAAATTAAATTACCTCATTCGATTGCGAGAAAAATTTTCCCTAATTATGCAATTAGAGTAGCTTCATTTGGAAAACCTCATTACCCGTAAGTAGTCATGTTAACAATTTCTCGTAAATTTTTACAATTCAATTTAATATCAAATTTATGCAATCAAATTGTTCAAAAATCAACCAAAAAATCAATACATTTTGCTAACAATCTCATGAATTGATAAAATTGTCCAATATTAAACAATTAATCAACAGTAACTAAAGGAGAAACTCAATTAAAAAGTTACGATAGTAACTATCATCAAATGGAAACCATTGATGATAAGTTAATGTCTTTGTGCTGATAATTAAAGGAAAAGATTATAAATCTAGTTTTTTTCTCACTCGTTGTTGATTAATTGTTGATACAATCAAGATGATGATGATGCTCATCAAGATCATTAAATTGTCTAATGTTATAAACAGACTGAAGGTCAAAGCTTTTTGACTTTAAACATTGAGTTTTTCATGTTACCATTACATAGATACTGATGATGAGATTGTGACCTGTTTAATTTATATTTGATTCTGTTGATGGATCCCGTTAATGTATACACTTAAATTGTCCCTCTTTCAACAGTCATTATGATGATAATGATGATGATTATCATCAATTGGTAATTTAAAAAGTCTAGAAAATTGATCAATCCTCATTTTCGTGTCTCTATGTTATTTGTTGTCTATTAATTTAACTAATTAGCACACTGGACATTAGAGGGAAACATGTAAATGATAATGATAACGGTTAAGTGATAAAGATGTGAGGAGAGATGGTCAATGTCCTTGTCTCTCTCTCTCTATGTGTGTCCAGTTTGTAGTGGACATTTACACAACGTATATATGAGATTGTTAAAGATCCTTGATTAACCATCCAAGGAGAGAAAGTGAATTAAGTAAACTATGAATATAATCATGATGATGATCATCATTATCATCATGGTTGAGATGATTTTCAGTTAAACAAACATATATAAAGTTCAATGAGAGAGCCAGAAATTGATCATTTATCTCATCATTATCAATAGATATCGACATAGATAATAAATTTAATATTCATTATTTTTGGCTTGACAATTAATCAACTGTAACCTAATCAGGTTTCTCAACAGCAATTTAAATTGTTAAGCTATACAATTGACTGATTAAGCAAAAAGCCATCACAATCAAGTCACAACCTTTACTTTTCCGATGATAATTGTTGATATTGCGGATGCTTTTTTAATTACACTCTTAATTAACCAAACTAATCCAACAATTTAAAAGCTTGTCTTCAAACTGTAAGGCCCTAATTAGTAAATCATTGTCAACCTTACTATACAAATCACTCTTAATTAACCAAGCTAATCAGTTACAATTAACTTGTAAAAACCATTGGAAACTTTTTTTTTCATCATCAAGCCTAAAAACCTAAATTAACCCGAGAAAATCAAATGATAAGATAATTAATTGATTGATATCAATCAAATCAAGTTAACTACTGATTGTTATTGAATCAATATGATAGCAAAATTTTCACTGGTTAATAAGAAACATGGTAATTAATAAGATGATTGATTGATTGATCAATTGTAATGGTATCAAAGTAGATTAACCTAAATTAATATTAATTGTCCTCGGGAAAAGTTAATTGTTTCAACTTTCAATGATCAAGATATTAGTCCAAAGAAAAAATGATCTAACTAATTAACTATTACAAGCTCATATAATAAACTGACCATTAATTTACTTAATATCAGGTTAATGAAGTTTATTGTTATTAGTCCATAAGGTGGACAAATTACATAATCATCAGAATAAATTAAAATTAATCACAATTAACCATAAAAAGGTTCTGGTCAGTACCGAGTCAAAGTGTCTTACAGACTTACCCATAATAATAATAGGATTTCGTGATAGCTTTTCATTAATATACCAAAGGATTAATTCAAATTATATGAGGATAATAATAAGTTATCATATATATATTAGGGGTATCAATAAGTTCTATAGTATATCCATGGCTTTAAAATAAATACGAATTTGACCGATTTGATCACAATTCGGCTTCCGACTTTTTGGTGTTTTCTGTTTGAGAAAAATTGTAGGTTAGAATATCAAATAATAATGTTATTAAGACTAATTAGGTGATTATCTTACATCATTTACTCTAACGTCTTCAATATTTGCCATGATTTATCAAATTTCCAAATGTGATGTGATGATAACTTTGCTAGAAATCTGTCAATTATAAAGAGAAAGCGGTATTAAAATAGTTGAAAAGGTTTTTAAGAATAGAAAATAAGGAGATTATTTGCTACTTGTGTTTCCTTCAAAACAAATTTTTCCCGCTGAAGGTGCGAGACGAGTTGTCCTGATGATAGAAAGAAAAATAAACAAAATATTCTGAAAAAAATGTCATTTGTCATCAGATTGTCAATTAATTATCACAGATTCATGGCCAGTGAGGATTAACTTAGGTAAAGGATTAGGGTCCATATTTTGACAATGGAAGTTTAGCCGATACTCAATTGTCATATTTCAAGGTCATAAAGGTTACTCATGAAAGAACGAACTTGAATGTCATTTGAAAAAATTTCTAGTTCGCAAAAAGTTCTTCAAATGACCTTCTGGTGCGTTCTTTCATGAGTAGCGTTTATGACCTTGACCTTGAAATATGACAATTGAGTATCGGTTAAACTTCCATAGACGAAATATGGACCCTATCGGTCAAGTTGTTTTTGAGTAATCGTGAAAAGAAAACCAACAGTTGCTGAATTGCCCTGTATTGTAAAGAGTTTGGTTTAATATTCAAATTGTTAGCTATCAGATTATCAAGAATATAAAAATAACTGATTCAACTAATGAGCTTTGAACAGTTTAAATTGTTTCCATTGTTAGATTCAGTTTGGTTGATTTTTATCCATTTTCACGGTAAAAGTTCAAAGAAGTGAAAATGAGTTTTCATAAGATCGAGGAATATATTGTTCAGAACATTTCGAAAGTGATAGAAAAAGTAATCCAAAAATACTCAAGGAAACAATTTATTCAATTAACTTAATCAAACAACCCAGACATAGTTAACTAATTTACTTCAAGATGAGAAACTAATAATCTTAACTAATTTATCAATTCTTATCAATATATTATCATCATGCAGCAATTAACACATTTGCCTGGATTGAATTTGATAGCTTTAATTAATTGTAATCAATTACTTCTAACTGATCCAATTAATGTGATTAACTCTTTTTAGTTTTTCAAACAATCTAATCAATTATAATCATGTTTAAACTCCATTTTGATTAACTTTTAATCTTAAATTTGCTTGGGAAATGACCTTTGGTCAATCAAACACTATTATCTGATATATTTATCAACGACCATCAATCAAAAGTTATTAATATATTAACCAATCAATAAATTATACGATTATTATTTTCCAATGTGATATTATTGCCATTGGATTATCATCAATGTTATTGATTTGATATTTCAATGATATTGATACTACAGACAATGTATCATGATAATCATCATGAAAGGTGATGATAATGATGATTAAGATGAAGATGAAAGGTTAGTCTCTTTACTTAGCTTCTTATCAGATTAAACATTTTCATCATTAATTTGGTTTGAATATCCGGAAATCAATTAGCAAATGTTTCCGTTGTTTTGATAAAAATGATATTTCTATCTGAAAGAGAAGCGAAAATAAAAAAGAGAGAGAAAAGTTTATCATCATCATCATCATCTCTCTCTCTCTCTCTCTCTCTCTCTCTCTCTCTCTCTCTCTCTCTCTCTCTCTCTCTCTCTCTCTCTCTCTCTTATCGCTGACTCACTTATGATTCAGTTTAATGAATCAATGGAAGAGAGAGTTGATTGGAAGGAGGAAAAGTTGTATAAAGGGAAGAAAAAATTATCTCAAGCGGAAAAGGAAAAGAAGAAGAAAATGTTTTCACCTCCAATAGAAATATAATTTATTCTTTAGCTCATCATGATGATCCTTATCTTCATCTTCATCTTCCTCGTCCATTTCTTTTTCTAATAAAACGTAAAAGTTATACATAAAAGCTTAAGCCAATAGACCATCAACAGTGTATTCGAAGCTTAAGTAAAATCTATTCTACTTTCCAATTCCTTCTGAAAACTTTTTCCTTCCTTTTCATCATCATCATCATTTCTCTTCCCACCTCTTCCATCAACATACTCTCTCTCTCTCTCTACTACTTTCTATTGCCTCTCATTTATAAGAAAACGAGGGTCAAGAAATGTCTTCTCTTCCCTATCTTCATCCATCCTTATTTTCTTCCTCATCACTAACAACTCATAATCGATAAACCAACCAACCTCTTCTCCAAGAAAAACTTGAATAATTCATCGGCTGATTCAGCCGAATTCAAGAATCATTTTCTTATCATCTTTTGCATTATCGGACAATCTTCCTTCCCTATCATCTTGAAAATGATATCATATTGTGATACCCAATCTACTCTCCATCATATACATTTTGTCATCATCCAAATTCATATGTAATAATAATCACAGTTAAAAAAATATCATGACAATGATGAAAAAATATTTCCAATCATTTCTCAATATGAAACAACCCACTGGGAGTAAATCATATTAATAATCAAAGTTAATACTCAACATTTTGTACTACATATTATGTACACAAATATATGATATATGATGTGGATACAATTGTAATCAATGAATAGACTGATTTCCTGTTTAATCATGATGATGATTTCATTCATTGTATATATCCGATCATACAAATCATCATCATCATCATCATCATCTCCCATTGATCAATATTAATCCAATTGAATAACAATTTAATTCTCATTCAGCATTTTTCATCATTTCAAGATTCATTCACATCAAAACCGCCCATTCATGTCTAGACAATTTGATGATCACCATGCGAGGAAAAGTTGATGAAGATTCAACAGAAACTCAGGAAAATCTCATAGCAATTGATTTTATCATTAAACAAAATGATAATATTATTTACATCATTAGCAATATTAATAGTTGAATGCTCAATGGAAAGAGTTGTGTGATTAATAT